TTCGATTCCCGGTGGAGGAGGAAACAAAATCGGTGAGTTTCTTTCACCCTTCTTCCACCCTTTCTTCCGGCCTAAAATGAGACAAATGAAAAGCAACAGAAGAATCTATGGTTCACTCAGGAATGTAAGGTAGCGAGGCAATTAAGTACAAGAACATGGAGAAACTACATAAATAACAAAACACCAGAGAGCAAGGAGAGAAACCAGAGGTCCAGGATTGTGTACCTAAGAGTGAGGAGAAAAGTAGAGACAGAATGAAAATGACTTTGCGAGCAAAGCCAAGACCCAACCAAAACTGTGCTACAGCCACATCAGGACCAAAAACAGCAGTAAAGGAACAAGTGATGAAACTTAGAAAAGAGAACAGAAACACAGAGAATGACAAGGAGGTGTGTGAAGAACTCAACAAGAGATTCCAGAGGGCATCACAATAGAACCATCAGAAGCCTCTGCAGAAAATGAGGAGGAGGCAAACCAAGCAAGCTTGGCGGAATTTAACCTCACCAGTGATGAGATCAAAAGGAATCTGTTGGATCAGAATGTGACAAAAGCTGATTTGCCTGATATAATCACGATGGATACTATAAGAGGGCGCAGAAGCACTCAGTGTGCCACTCTCTATGGTGTATAACAGGTCTGTGGAAACAGGAGACCTACCGGAAAGCTGGAAGACAGCTAATGTAGTCCCTATAAACAAAAAGGTGACAGGTAAGAGGCAATGAACTATAGGCCAGTTTCACTTACCCGTATACAATGCAAGGCGATGGAGAAATTCGTCAAGCAAAGACTCGTAGAGCATCTGGAGGGAAGAGCTCTGTAACACACCACCAGCATAGGCTGAAAGGTGGTAAATCGTAAATCGTCTGGCAGGCTTAAAAGAATTCTATGACCAAGCAACAAAAATTAGGCAAGAAAGAGATGGGTGGTCAGACTGCAGTTCCATGGACCGTCAGAAAGACTTTATTTTTTTTTATTTATATATCCAAGAGTTCTTACATTTTGGAAACAGCCACTAGCACTCATAGCGTTTCCTTAATCTTAATGTTCCCCGGAATACGACCCGCCAAATCGTTTAACAATCAGGTTCCCATTTTACTGTTGGGTAAACAGGGGGCTACAGTTAAGGACTGACGCCCAGTATATCCTCCCCGGCCAGGATACAAACCCAGGACAAATCGCTGGCAAAACGCCAAGTGAGTGTCCTACCACTACACCACGAAGACTGCGAACACAGTCTGGGGACCTGTGACACAGTACCCCATAAAAGGCTGTTACAAAAGTTAGAGAAACAGGCAGGAGTAAAAGGTAAGGTGCTCCAGTGAGTGAGGAAGAACCTAAGCAACATGAAACACTGAGTAACTGTGAAGGGGGAGACAGAGCGGCGAGATGTCACCAGCGGGCTTCCACAGGGCTCTGTACCTGGACCCATCCTGTTTCTGATATATGTAAACGATCTTCCAAAGGGTATAGACTCATTCCTCTCAATGTTTGCTGATAATGCAAAAATTATGATAATAATAAAGACAGATGAAGATAGAGAATACAGGACGACCTGGACAAACTGGAGGAATGGTCAAGAAAATGGCTACTAAAATTTTAACTCAGGAAAGTATAAAGTAATGAAATTAAGCGAAGGTAGAAGGAAGCCAAACACATACCTTGAGGTGTTTTACCTTAAGATGTTTTCGGGGCTTAGCGACCCCGCGGCCCGGTTGTCGACCAAGCCTCCTCGTTGCTGGAATGGTAAAACAGGCTGTTGGACGCGGCTCCTCGCAGCCTGACGTATGAGTCACAGTCTGGTTGATCAGGTAGTTATTGCCAACAGCATTTGGTGTTCCCAGGCGGTAACCCATCCAAGTACTATCCAAACCCAACGTTGCTTCACTTCGCTGATCGGACGAGAAACGGTGTTCTCAACATGGTATGACAATTGGCAAATGGTACATGGTACCATCTGGAAGGTGAAATCGTGCAGAAGTCAAATAAAGAGAAAGATCTGGGGTTGATATCACACAGAACCTGTCCCCAGAAGCCCACATCAAAAGGGTATAATCAGAGGCATAGGCTAGATTGGCAAATATAAGAACTGCCTTACATATGTAAGGAATCGTTCAGGACCTTAAAAACCACTTATATCTAACCAATCTTGGAGTTTGCAGTTCCAGCCTGGAGTTCATACATAGTTTTACACAAAACAAGGTTAGAGAAGATCCAGAGATACGCACCAGACTAGTCCCAGAACTGAGAGGTATGAGCTACGAGAAAAAGCTTCGGGAGCTAAACCTCACGTCCCTGGAAGACAGAGGAGTCAGGGGAGACATGATAAACACCAACAAAATTATCAGAGGAATTGACAGAGTTAACGTAAGGTTATCTTGAGATGATTTCGGGGCTTAGCGTCCCCGCGGCCCGGTCCTCGACGAGGTCTCCTTTTCGTTACACATCCCTAGGAAGCAGCACGTAGTAGTTGTCTAACTCCCAGGTACCTACGGTAAAAATTCTACGACCAGGTGACAAAGATTAAGCAAGAAAGAGAGGGCTGGGCGGACTGCATTTTCTTGGATTGTCGAAAAGCCTTTGACACAGTACCGCATAAGAGGCTGGTACATAAGCTGGAGAGACAGGCAGGTGTAGCTGGTAAGGTGCTCCAGTGGATAAAGGAGTACCTAAGCAATCGGAAGCAGAGAGGTACGGTGAGGGGTGAGACCTCCAATTGGGGTGAAGTCACCAGTAGAGTCCCACAGGGCTCTGTACTCGGTCCTATCTTGTTTCTGTTATATGTAAATGATCTCCCGGAGGGTATCGATTCATTTCTCTCAATGTTTGCGGACGATGCTAAAATTATGAGAAGGATTAAAACAGAAGAGGACTGTTTGAGGCTTCAAGAAGACCTAGACAAGCTGAAGGAATGGTCGAACAAATGGTTGTTAGAGTTTAACCCAACCAAATGTAATGTAATGAAGATAGGTGTAGGGAGCAGGAGGCCAGATACAAGGTATCATCTGGGAGAGGAAATTCTTCAGGAGTCAGAGAAAGAAAAAGACTTGGGGGTTGATATCACGCCAGACCTGTCTCCTGCAGCACATATCAAGAGGATAACATCAGCGGCATATGCCAGGCTGGCCAACATACGAACGGCATTCAGAAACTTGTGTAAAGAATCATTCAGAACTTTGTATACCACATATGTCAGGCCAATCCTGGAGTATGCAGCCCCAGCATGGAGTCCATATCTTGTCAAGGATAAGACTAAACTGGAAAAGGTTCACAGGTTTGCCACCAGACTAGTACCCGAGCTAAGAGGTATAAGCTACGAGGAGAGACTACGGGAATTAAACCTCACTTCGCTGGAAGACAGAAGAGTTAGGGGGGACATGATCACCACATTCAAGATTCTCAAGGGAATTGATAGGGTAGATAAAGACAGGCTATTTAACACAAGGGGCACACGCACAAGGGGACACAGGTGGAAACTGAGTGCCCAAATGAGCCACAGAGATATTAGAAAAAACTTTTTTTGTGTCAGAGTGGTTGACAATTGGAATGCATTAGGAAGTGATGTGGTGGAGGCTGACTCCATACACAGTTTCAAGTGTAGATATGATAGAGCCCAATAGGCTCAGGAACCTGTACACCTGTTGATTGACGGTTAAGAGGCGGGACCAAAGAGCCAGAGCTCAACCCCCGCAATCACAACTAGGTGAGTACAACTAGGTGAGTACACACACACACACACACACACACACACACACACACACACACACACACACACACACACACACACACACACACACACACACACACACACACACACAGTTTTTTTAAACAATTCTGCGAAAGAAACCCCGATACTGGGAGCTTGAACCAAGTCCAGTAAAACCACAAGCGGTCAGTCACAACCTGGTGCCTCCGTCTCTGTTATCTTTGGGAAGTGGGCGTGAGAGGACGACCAGGACACATAGATATTACACACGGACCAGACTCCACTCATACCAGACACACTCATACACACACCAGATGTGAAACTCAAACATACACCAGACGTGACACTCAAACTCACACCAGTTGAAACACTCAAACACACTCCAGATGTGACACTCACACACACACACACGAGATGTGACACTCACACACACACACGAGATGTGACACTCACACACACACACGAGATGTGACACTCAAATACACACTCGAGATGTGACACACAAACATAACAGATGTGACACTTAAACACACACGAGATGTGACACTCAAACGCACACCAGATGTGACACTTAAACATACATCTGTTCGTGTGTTTTAGTGCCACACCCCCGAAATAGCGTACCAAATGCCACCCCCCGAACTGTGGGGCCGGTGGCCGAGCAGACAGCACGCTGGACATGTGATCCTGTGGTCCCGGTTCGATCCCGGGTGCCAGCGAGAAACAATGTTCAGAGTTTCTTTCACCCTATGCCCCTGTTACCTAGCAGCAAATAGGTACCTGAGAATTAGTCAGCTGTCACAGGCTGCTTCCTGGTGTGTGTGTGTGTGTGTGTGTGTGTGTGTGTGTGTGTGTGTGTGTGTGTGTGTGTGTGTGTGTGTGTGTGAGTGTGTGTGTGTGAGTGTGTGTGTGTGTGTGTGTGTGTGTGTGTGTGTGTGTGTGTGTGTGTGTGTGTGTGTGTGTGTGTGTGTGTGTGTGTACTCACCTAGTTGTACTCACCTAGTTGTGCTTGCGGGGGTTGAGCTCTGGCTCTTTGGTCCCGCCCCTCAACCGTCAATCAACAGGTGTACAGGTTATCATATCTACACTCGAAACTGTGTATGGAGTCAGCCTCCACCACATTGCTTCCTAATGCATTCCATTTGTCAACCACTCTGACACTAAAAAAGTTCTGTCTAAATATCTCTGTGGCTCATT